TCGTGGAAGCGTGATATTGTCCTGCCTGCGTGCAGATGAATTTTTTTGGAACATCACTTCCTGTTATCCAGTTGGCATGGATGTAATCATTTGCACCGGGTGGCCAGCTGAGGACAACTCGGGACTCGTCAGCGCAGTAGACGTCTGAAATTCGCTACAAAGGTTGATAATGCTGAAAAATCTAGTAAATGTACCTTTGTATCTATTTTTTTGAGGGTTCGCATCGAATGCAAGCTTACGCTTGGTACCGATAGGTTGCGTTTGAGCCCTCAACGTCAAAAATTCCGTTACCAATCCTTGAACTCCAGTCTGAAAGTTAGCTACGAGATCTATAAATGTTTCTTGTAGGATAGAGCCGTTCAGTACCCTATTGACTTGTAGGCAAAACTCTCTGAATGCGTTGCGAAATTCAGGTGTATCAATTTGGGCTCCTCCTCGCCTAGTCATCGTTCGCCTTCTCGTCCTTGTTGCTCTTTCAACTTGTGTGCCATCATCCTCACAAGTTGCCAGTGTTGCTAACAAAAGTTCGAAAGATTTCAACTAACATTGGAAGTTGTCCTGGCCTTACCGGCAATTCGAGATTTTCGTTTTCGCGCCTTTGCGGCCTTCTCAGCCTGACTGCTGTCTTCTTCGCATGTGGCTAATGTCGCTGCTGAAACAGCGATTGTCAGATGGTTTGCGCACGCGCCACAAAACCATAACGTGCCAGGACTCCGAGCTCTTCTGCTCCTTCTTGACTTCCTCATCGTAAAGTCGTGATGGTGAGAACAGCGGTTAGTATGACAATGGATCCAGCAGTGCTGATCCGATGCCTGACGGCTCAGCTCTAGCTGCTGAACGCAACAACTGAAACTCACTTCGACAGATCTATGCTTATATAGCTCTCATAAAAGATATCTCTTGAGGATAGCAAATCTGATCAGATGATTTGAAGGAGATTCCGACCCATCCTTGAGCAATCTACACGTGATATGAATTCCACTAAACTTCAACGCCATCATCTTCCGTCAGTGCCCAGCTTTGCCGAGTCTTCATGCAAGCACCATACAACAAAAGAATTAACTACCTAGTTGGACGGTTTAAAAACTCATACGGAGTACGTTAAACATCATTAGACGGTAAATTCCAAGTTTTGTTTTTGCTTGAGAAGGCCTCGTTCATCAAGTATTCGCTCCTTTCTCGTCCACATCTTTCCGCTAACTTCTGAACCCTTTCGTACATCTAATTTTTCTTGCAAAATGATTGTGGAATCTCTGTACTCTATGATTCAGTGCACGAGATTTTATGTAGAAAGATGGTCCAACCGAGACATGTGACATCCTCGCACGGACAGAATTGCCCAGAACGGATAGAGGCAAACATAACAAATATACGCTTCTATCTCATTAATCAGGGGTTTCAATGCTGTAGTTTCAACGATGTAATGGCAATATCAACGCAACCAAAGGAGAGGTTCTGCACACAATGAAATTGCCCCAAACTTGGAAAATCAAAATTAAACGAGAAATGCACAATCATTATAAGCTGTCTATTTTAAGGCTCTTACAAAGCTATGATCACATCATCTTGCAGAAATTAATCCTAGGGTATTTATGAAGGATATATGTACGGAATAAAAATTCGAGAATCCAAAGCTGCGGTTCTTTTGAATCAATAATGCAGTAGTCTTAGAGTGAAATTCCAAGTGCTATCGCTGCTTTGCTATTAATGATGTCTACCGCTGCTGTTCTATACGACATCATTGGTGTTTACGTTCCAATGAAAAAACCGTATATGCTACAGTTAGGTACTGGCCTGCACATCTACAGAACCTGCCGAATCGAATAGGGGACTATGTCCTATTTTATTCGATCCGCTGCATGATGATGAGCATGCCGCTTGCGTTAGTGATCATCACCTAGCCATCTCCTTATCATCGTATAATGGCCAACAGGGGAGGTAGAATTGTCCAAAGATTTTGCGAATCTTCGCACTTAACTTGAACATGAACTAAAGCTTTTTCAAGGCTCTTTGTCCCCTTAGAATCATAATGATCTATATGTTGTTGTCAATAGAAAGCAATATCATATGCCAATTATTCCAATGTTTTTGAAGTAAAAATCTGAGGTATGGACCTCGGTATGGACGTTTTTTCCCATATCTTTTGCGCTAAAAGCTTCTAGCGAATTGTTCTGATTGAATAGTTGGTTGGTAAGAAGTTCGGTCAGTGTGATGGGGAACGCAGAGTATCGCAGTGCACTCATTCAATTTCT